TTCTTACACAGATTGAGAGGTCAGAAAGGAATTAGAAACTGTCCAATTGAAAATGACTCTTGTGGTATAAACATATGCTGTGTTCTTTCCTTTTCTCCCCACTTTAGGGAACTGCTCGCAGAAAGAAGAAGGTGGTTCATAGAACAGCCACAGCAGACGACAAAAAACTTCAGTTCTCTTTAAAGAAGTTAGGGGTAAACAATATCTCTGGTATTGAAGAGGTAAGTGTCAGATTTTATTTCTTTACAAAAATAAGATTTGATTGAAAACTTTAATGTTTGTGCGTTAAATGATTTTTTTGACTACTGCCAACAGAGAATTTCATCTCTCTCTAAAATATGTTTCTATTCTAGTATCAGGGAGATTGCTAAGTGTAAAAGGGATTAGATTGCACTTTCCATTTCAGGCAGAATTTTGCTTGTGCATTATGGTGACATACTAGGTTACTTAGCCAGACTTCAGCTTTTGCTTAATACAGTGTTTGGTTTTAAAGGGATTTTGGTGAGTGTTGCTAATTTAACAATTTTTTTTTTCTTTTTAGGTGAATATGTTCACAAACCAAGGGACAGTGATCCACTTTAACAACCCTAAAGTTCAGGCATCTCTGGCAGCAAACACTTTCACCATTACAGGCCATGCTGAGACAAAGCAGCTGACAGAAATGCTCCCCAGCATCTTAAACCAGCTTGGCGCAGACAGTCTGACCAGTTTAAGGAGACTGGCTGAAGCTCTGCCCAAACAATGTGAGTTTCCTAGTAGCAGTTTTGCCCAGGGTTACTGAGTTGTCAGTAGATTTCTAAGATTTAGGGTGCACGGTGGATATGAATATTTTTAAATTTGGAAATGCTGATTTTCCTCTAAGAAACATCAATTTTTATACTGATTTTAAGCAGGTGTTTTTAGTGTGTTATAATATGCTTTGATCATTATACTTGCTTAAGTGAAATGTTTGCTTTCTACTAGCTTTCTGTTTCGGATCAGAGACTAAAAATTGTACCTTTATTAGCTGGAAATGATGAAAATGTTAATTTGCGCCTTTTTTTAAAAAATAACTGACAGTTAATTGAAATATATTTAAATACATTACAAATTATTAAACTTCTTCAGTTGTACAAATTCAGCTGGTATTACCAATAGTCTTTAAGAATTGGCCTCCTGCTATTCTGGTGTTTTTAATTATACTGTAATAAGGATTTTGTTCGGGGCAGAAGATTGTGTGGTTGAATAGGTGTATATCAGGGTATAGCTACTTTATGCTGAAGCTCTCTGATTAAAATTTTGAGAAATGGAAATGTAGAAGTGAGACGGGTTTATTATATGGTCTGCTGTTTAGTCATCCATGTTTTTCTTGAGGTTTGCTCCATCTGCTTTAATCAATTTGTGTGTGTTGCTGTTTTTTGTTTGTTTGTTTTGTCATGCCGAAAGGCCTAAGAGGTTCTAGAAAGTCTTAGGCTTTCAGAGGTAGGCTTTTGAAGGATTCCACTGAAAATTGTACAGTGCTAGTACTGTGAGGTCTCAGCTGTCAAGTGTAGTTCACTTTCTTGTGTAATAAAAGGAAAGTGGAGGCTTACCAAAGGTACTTTTAATTTTTTGATTATTTTATTTTCACTTCAGTAAAGGTTTTTTGGTATGTGGGTTTACCTGTACCATGTTGTAGGTGAAAGGGATTGAAAGGAGAATGGGTTTGGAATTTGGTGTGTTGGCTGGTACTAGTATTCTAGCTCATTTGTAGACGTCAGACTATCATGCTATTGCTAGTACTGTAAAAGAAATCCCAAATGTCACCATAAGCATAAGTTGTAACAACACTTGACCATTCACCTGTTGTTCTTTTGGTTAGCGTTCATTGAACATTTACATTTCCTTTCACAGCTGTGGATGGAAAAGCACCACTTGCTACTGGAGAGGATGATGATGATGAAGTTCCAGGTAGGAACTTTCACTTGTGGTTAAACTAGAGAATCTTAGCAAGGGAGAATGAAGAATCTTTGTACTATAGGAAAGATTACCTTAGGCCAGGGGCTGGGGAGGTATGTGAAATAGGGTAAAGTGGGACAAAGGGAGAATGAGAAAAATAATGCGGTGTTAGTCACCTGGGATTTAGGTTTGTAGGCTTGGTTTTTCTCTGTTTGGGATCCCAAGAAGGTATCTAACCTTAAATATTGTGTAAATAGATACGTGTGTAGTAACCTAAATATAATAGGTACTTGCAGATCACAAATGACCCTCGTTTCCTACTTTGAGATCCATAAATGTATGAGAAGGCATGGAGAAGTTGTAGAAATATCTTCTATATAATCATTCTGAAATCAGCAGAAAAACTCCTTTGGCAATCATGAGGCATTTTTCTGTTACTGGATAATTTATTTTGTTGTAAAACAGATATTGGGCAGTAGACTCCCTAGACTCAGAAATATTTCCACATTGCATAGACAGGTATCCTCAGGAATCCAGGAAAACTTCAAATTGTGTGTCATGGTATTCTTTGATTCTGTCCCCCATATAACTAATATTACTTAACTGTAATTCTTGGAATGGGGCAGGAATGGGTGGGACATATACATATTCTTTAAGCATTATATTTATGTCATTGGCAAGTTAATAATTTTCCTCTTTCCCTTGTATTAATTATATGCCAAAATATACACTTCAAAATACGCCAAATGAGTAGTGGTCTCATTAGAAATAAAAACAGGTGTCTAAATTTATATCCTAATTTAACTGTAGGATATATTTTGAGAGCATTTCCCTATCTTCTTTTTAAGACCTGATGATTATTTTTATAGACTTGGCTTTTTTTTCTGAGTTTTTACTTTTTTTTTTTTTTTTTTTTTTTTTTTTTTTTTTTTTCCTTTTCCTAGATCTTGTGGAGAATTTTGATGAGGCTTCCAAAAATGAAGCAAACTGAATTGAGTCAACTTCTGAAGAAGATAAATCTTGAAGAAGTTACTGGGAGCTGCTATTTTATATTATGACTGCTTTTTAAAATTTTGTTTATGGATCTGATAAAATCTAGATCTCTAATATTTTTAAGCCAAGCCCCTGGACACTGCAGCTCTTTTCAGTTTTTGCTTATATACAATTCATTCTTTGCAGCTAATTAAGCTGAGGAAGCCTGGGAATAAAGTTTGAAACAAAGATTAATAAAGTTCTTTGCTTAGTATACGGTTTTATATTTTATTTCATTAATACTGATTTCTACACAGAAAGCAAAATCGTTTATAGAAAGCTAATCATGGCATGTAATATGACTGGTAATCATGGATGGAATCTGATTAAAGATTTAAAATGACAGTATAAGTATCAAAGGTGGTTTAAAGTTCTTATGTCTGAAAACTTCTTTCTCCAGCAGGCCTCAGAGCTTCCATAGTTTGTGATGGGTGTAATTATGAGACTAGTATATTCCTTCGTGGGTAAGCAAGGAGTTTTTTTCTCTTAATATTGTCTATATTGTAAACATACACTGAGTGCCGTTTATGTATTATAGCACGTAATTTTCTCTCATTTAATTCTCAATCTATGAAGTAGGGACTAGTAACTCCATTTTGTAGATATAACCGAGGTTACATCAAAAAAGTTAAAGTAGTTATTAATCTCTTAACTCCATTCTGTGTAGTGTATTCTCTAAGATACCTGAAAAAATGTAGTGTTTGTGTTAGGAATGTCACCTTATCTTCCTTAAGTGATAACACTTTAAATGAATAGGACTACTTTTTTCTTTAAAATTGTTTTTGTTACTTTTTAAGTTAACAGTAATATTGACGTGCGTGTATACAATTGTAAGAATTTTAACACGTAATATGACTGCCACCAGAGTCAGAATACTGAACAGTTCCATTACCCCAGAAAATTTTCTCAATGTAGGGTTACTTTTAAAAAATTTTATTAGCAATCATAATGCCTTAGTTTCTGCTTGCAATAATAAGAATTCATTTAAGTTTTCATACTAATTAGAGAGTACCTTTTGAAGGTACTATACAGCTATATCTAAAAGTCAACTGTTAACTCAAAAATGAGATGCTGTGCAAAAAATATTTGCACATCTTAACATTGTATTATTTTCTTCGAAGGATGTATATCAGTTCTGTTAAGGTATACTGCTACAGTAAGCAGGACTAAAGTCTCAGTGGGTTTACAAAATTAGGAAACAAGTACATGTCTCCAGACTACTGTGGGTTAGGTTGGGCTGTGCTACATACTCACTCCAGGTCCCAGACTGATGGAGCAACCACTATTTGGGACACTCAGTTTCCTGGCAGAGTGAGAAGATGGTGGGTCACCTGCTGGCTCTTAAAGTGATACAAGTATCACTTCTTGTATGTAACTGGCCAAGGCAAGTGGAGTGGCTTACCTGGAGGGCAGGGGGTTTGGAAGGCTTGGAGTAGGGCCTGAGGATTTGCATATCTGATAAGCTCCCAGGTGATGCTAGTGCATTTCCACTGGTGATGCTTCCTTTGAGCAGCACAATTAGAGATGTTCTCAACTCATCCCAACAGATTGCAGTGACAGAGGCTGACTTGAGCATGTGAAGATGGCCGCTGTCTGAATATCCTTATAGTTATTTGCCTTAGATCTGTATAGGAAAGGGACTAAATAGAGAAGTGCAATAGATTTCTAGGCTGCTGGCTAAGGTTAGTCCTGTTTTGCCTGTGCTTAGAGACTTTTTTTTCTCCCAACAACCTCTAAAAATATTTCTTTGGTCCATTATTTAAAGGATCTGGTGGTGTGTGTTGGTGGCAATAGACTGGTAAGAAAGGTTTTTCCTGTAACATTTTCAGTATCAAGATAGGCAGGGTTATGCTACAGTTAGAAATGACTAGAAACTTTAGTTGCTACAGAGATTTGTTCGTCAGGCTTGATGTTTGTGGTTTGCCTGTGGCTGGGCTCCACTTTACTTCAAGGACAGCCTCTAATCAGAACATTTCCAGTCTCAGGACAAGGAAAAGAGATGGCAAACAGTCAGCTGGCTCTTCAGACTTACGCTGGGAAGTGATACACATCATTAAATTTCGGCAGCCAGAGCAAGTCACATACGTAGTCAAGTCTGATGGCCATGAGGATTGGGGAAGTATAATCCTCCCCCGGAGCAAGATAGCAGATTTTTTTTAAAACAATAATATAATCTACCATATCCTTATAATTTTTCTTAAATTGCCCACAATTCCTGTGTTTATTAAGCACTGTATAACTCATTTTATATCATCTTACTGATTGTCATAACAATCTCCCCCAAAGAGCCACATTATGCAGATAAGGAAACCCTTAAAACATACCCCTTAAGTGGTAGAGCGAGATTCAAACCCAGGTCTGCTGTTTTGATCTCAGTACCTACTGGAAAGAATTTCAGGTCCTGGCAGGCTGGAGGGGCAGATGATTCTAGTCTGGTTGATCTTTTGGCTGTTGTCCCAATTTGCTGGCTGTTGTCCACTGCTTTTAAGACTAGCCCCCAACTTACTTTCAGCTGGATCTGAACCAGGGTTACCCTAATGAAGAGATGGACATCGATTATGAACTGAGGATTCTAAGGATTAATACTCTTTATTTGTTGAACTAACCCACCTGGAGTACACTTGTGTCATCCGCATTATAACCCTGTGTTGTAAGGGCAGAAAGCTACATTCTAAAATTTGGAAACAAGTTTAAAAAAAAAATGGGTCAGAGGTCACTGACAGGTCTGAATTCTACCAATCATTTTTTTCTCTATTCCATAACACTGGATTTGTGCTTTGGTAGCTCTCCCTACCCCACCCCACCCCTTTAAGATACATATGTTGTTGGGAGAGAAATCTTAAGGGGACTAATAACAGTTTTTAGCCTTTCCAAAACAATAGTTAGAAAAGTCTTCTATTCACATAAATTTTCATGACTCCAATCAGCACAGTCTTGACTGCCATCTTTGCAGCGAGTTCTGGGAATGCAGGCACAGTCGGCAAAGAAAACAGTATCACATCTGTAGCCTGAACACTTTGGGCACTGTGAAACTAGACAATTTTATTTATTTTTAAAACCATAACTGTTAAAATGTCAAGGTGAACTGGAAAAGATACTATTGGAAAAAAAATAGCCATTTGGATTTTTAAAATAGGGAAGACTGTCCAAGAGGAATATTGCAGATGTTTATTAAAGATTCTACATATTTGGGTGAAAGAATTTGTACTCTGAAAAACCAAGAAGAGTACTGTCTCTCTCCATCAGCCTGAGAATAAACATACTGACACACTACATAAACAAGGAAAGGTCCGTATGAGTTTATACGTTCAATAAGCAAGGAAGAGAATCAGTATTTGGTAATTGGCAGCTAGCAAGAAAGATCTGTTTATACTTCTAGTCTTTTCTTGTCAACACATTGTTAGATAACATGCAACTCGTAGGAAGCATTTCTATTTCTACCTTCCATGAGGACTAGACAAAAGGCAGGATATGATCTATTTAGTGTACTTTATTTCCAATGGGTCATTTACATTGTTGATTGGGGCCATGCGGTATTGGAATCGTATCTACCACCATGGTTTTAGAATAATCCAGTTTACCAGACTGTAAAGTGATCGGGGTGCTGCACAGTGTTAAAGCACCATAGAGAACACTGTGAAAGGCAGAGAGGAGAGTGGAGGAGAAAGGGCAAAAGGTTAAATAACAACAACAAAAAGTCTTTGAAAGTCAAAGCATTCAACAGACTTTTTTTTGATCTTTACTAAAATTTCCAAAGAAATCAAACAATTTTGGTAAGAGACAAAAATTGTTCGTCAAGGTTAATCTTTGTTAATCTTTGCAAATCTGGCTTTATTTGCTTCTTAGCTAGAGAACTCACCTACTTTAAATATGCAAACTATTGGAAGTGATAGAATTGCTTAACTGTGAATGAAAATATCCTTAGGAAGGTTTCTAAGCATGAGTTAATTTATGTGGCTGAAATGTAAGGGTAGCAACTCCAAGAACCCATTAAAACATTAATTACATATTTTCATCTTTACCTGATTCATCTGAACAATCCCCACAGTCGTTTCTTGTGTCACACACCTTGTCCACGTATGTCCAAGTCTTCTGGTTGGGACACTTGAATATCAAGTTTTGTGAGAGGCTGCTGGGCATTTGGCCTGTATAGACAACGGCATTATTTCTCATAGAAACATTCGTTCATTGATAATGTTTTAATTATAATTCTGAATTTTAGATATTAGTTGCTGGTGACTGCTTTTTAATTTGGATTGTTTGTCCACCTCAGCACAATATGTAGCAGACTCATCTTCACCGTGACTGCAGTCCAGCCTGCCGTTACAGAGCAGGGAGGGTGGCAAGCAAGTAGAGCGGTCCTCACACAAGAAGCCCAGTCGCTGTGAAGCTGTTTTAAACAGTCGATATGACAAATTGGAAGATTTATAAGACAAATACTGGATGTTGACCTATGCACCTGTGACTATGAACATCAAGCCCTAATAATAGAATAACCTGCTTTTAATAATCCACTTTCTTCTTCCCCCTTTTGCTTCTTTCTGTTGTTCTTTTTCCCATGATTTCCTCTCCTCCCTTTCTTTCTTTTTCTCCCCTGTGCTCCCAAACTCTCTAGGCCGACTTAGCTTGCATTTCTTGCAATGCCAGTGGCCTTTGGGTAAACAAGTATGTACTCACTCCTGCCTGAGAAGGAAGGTGGCCAGGAGGGGGCAACAAGCCTGGTATCTGCTTTGAGCTTCTCCACACATTGGTTCTGTGTATCTGTGATTTTCTCTCTGTGCTTTTCTTAGCTAGAAATGAGAGCAAAGATAAATTGCTACACCAACCTCAAGGGGACACTGTGGGCTAAATTGAAACATGTTTAAGTGCAATGAATCTACTAAAAAATGTGTGGGAGTTTACCAGAATAATGTGATGATATTTTTAAGGACATGTAAGTACTGTAAAATTTTGATGGAAGTTAAGAGGTAAATAGCAGATTGGTAACACATATCTCAAATATTTACACGTATTTACACCTGAAATAACGTATCGCCAGAAAATTCTGGTTTGGTGTGTGTAGTGGTAAACAGGAAATATTTTAAATACCTGGGTTAGAGTTGGTGAGGGCTTGGGGAAGGTGCGTTTTGTATCTTGAAAGTTTTATAGTTGGAATAAAGGTGCGTTTTGCATCTTAAAGTTTTATAGTTGGAATAAAGTTAAAAGTTTATATAGTTTTACAGGTAACACTACTGTGTGTATCCCTTAATCCATGAGGTTTATATAGTTTTATAGGTAACACTACTGTGTGTATGTATCCCTTAATCCATGAGGTGCTTGGACTGTGATTGTGGCTGGTTTCACTCAAATTGCTAACAGTATTTATTACCCCACTCAACCTCATTTAACACTGAACGATATGCTCTCCTGTATTGTTCACCACTGTATCTCTGGTCTCCCTAAATATGGCAGAAACTCCTTGCAGATAGAAACCATATCCTGTGTAAGCTTCAGAGTTGGGTAGACCTGGAATGGAACCCCTGGCTTGTCGATTTTCCAGCTGTATGATCCTGGGCAAGTCACCTAACTTCCCTGAGTCTCTGTTCTTAATGGTTATGACAACCACTGCCTCTCAAGGTTGTTGAAAAGAATGGAGTAAAGATGAGATGTGTTAGGTGTCCAGAGCAATGGTTGGCACATAGCACGTGCCAACCATCAATTATCAGTGGACTCACTCCGTATCACCCATATCAGGAGACTCACTCATTTTGGAAATACATGGTGGATAAATATACTCTTGCTGGTTGAGTGAATTATTGACAGATCCATCACCTAGGGAAGAGACATACTTGCAGGTTTTACAGGTATCCCAAAGGTGATCCCAAGACTGATCACAGCAGCCATCACTCTGAGCACAAGAAAAGCCATGCAGGAAATCCAGAGACACTGCCTCGTGGGAGGCCAGCATTGCTCTATCACAACAAAACACACAGACACAGAGGAGGACAAGTCATCTTGGGGCAGAGGCTCGGGCTGGGGGTATGGTGTAAATTAGCCAGCTGTTGTCCATGTTTATCTCGGTGTGAAAGGCAGGAGACAACATTCAGGACTTTAAATGTGTGCTTTGAGTTGTAGTGGTGCTTTTCCTGTCTAGTATCTAATTCAGTTTCTGAGCAACAGGCCTTTTGATGAATGGGTGTTGGTCCGTCGGTTGTAAATGAAGCTTTAAAATGAAGGAACAGGGCCAGTGAGATGGAGTGACTTCTGAGGTTTATGCTGAGATAAGGGGAACTGTCTCACCTCACACTCAGGTCTCCTGGTTCCCTATCCAGGGCTGTGGCTACTATGCCAGTGTTTCCCAAAACCTGGCTTTCAGGCTACCTACCTGAGAATCACGGAAGGAAATGCAGATTCCTGGGCTCCCCCCAGACATACAGAATCTCTAGGGGGTGGGGTGGGGTGAATCTGAATATTTTTTGAGCACCTCAGGTCACTCTTAGACACACCACAGTTTGGGAACACAGCCCTGTGCCAAAGATGAAATGCAGACTTTGGTCTTGGGTTCCGAGCATTCCAAAGGACATTGCTTGCTGGTTCTGGAGTGAGCAGTCCTGGAAGAACAGGAGAGGCAGCTGCCTGACTGGTTTTACTGGCACACCACGAAGAGAAACACTGCTCAGACTACTCTTGATCTTTCCTTAGAGTTCAGCAGCACTGCCTTTTGCAAACAGTGAGACTCACCCTTGATATTTCTGCAGTGACCCATTGGCCAGAGTTCCTGATATCTCTGAGCCTTCTTCTGGGGCCTGAGTCTGCAGTCAAACCCCTTTGTGTGTAAACAGTACATTGTAATAGAAGAGAGACAGGATGGCATCTTTTCATGGGAACCAGTCCTAGACTCCAAGGCTTTTTTTGTCCCTCTGACAAGTATAAACATTATCTCCAACACCTAATAGTGCTTCAGAGTCAACAGCCCTGTCACGTAGCTGTGAACATTCACATTACTGGTGAAGAAACATAGGCTTAAAGAATCTTAGGGTCACAGCCAGTAAGTGGTAGAAGCAAGTGCTGGGACGCAATCAGACACGCCAAGGCTTTTTGCCACTTCACAGAGCTCCACTGAAGATCCTCCCTCAGCTGGGTCACAAACACCAGGAAGCTCTTGCCCCTGAAACCAAAGTCTTCTGCTCCTGTGGGGTCAGTGTTACTTTGTCCTTCCCACAGCAGCTACAGCCTTTTAAAATGCTCTCACTCTTTGAAAATCCCCCTCTGGGACTCTATCCTCTGCCTATAATTGGGTATATAGAAGAAAGCTTTACGTAAAAAGATTTTTTATGTAGTCAAATTTGTAATAGGAGATGCTAAATGCTAAACAATGCTAAAACACTTTCAATATTGAAACATCCATTTACTGGACTTCCTTGGTGGTCCAGTGGTTAAGTCTCTGTAAGTCTACTGCAGGGGGCACAGGTTCGATTCCTGGTCTGGGAATCAAGATCCCACATGCAGCGTGGCCAACAAAGACAACAACAAATCTGTTTACTAAAAGTGATCAAATAAGCTACTCACTTTTATATGTGATTGGTTCTCAACTGTGCAAAACAGTCATATAGAAACACTAAGCATTAAAACAAAGGCCAGGAGAGCTACCAGTGGCTGTCTCTGGATTGTGGTTCATTTGTTCATCATTCATTCCTTCAGCAAATATTTATGGAACATCTGTGTTGGGCAGTGTGCTAGGCTCCATAGATACAATGGTGAACAAGACAGATGGATATTGTCTGCCCTCGGTGAGCTGACAGTCTAGAGTACTATATGATTTTTAGCAGAGAGGGTTTGTGTCAGAAACACAAGGGGCTGCTTTTTAAAAATTCATATATCGTTGGTTGGTTGGCCTCAGGCAACCCAACACTGGAGCCTACCTGGGTTCTTTGGTGGGGCTAATAACAGACTCTGGGAGGGCTCATGCCAAGGAGTACTTCCCAGAACTTCTGCTGCCAGTGTCCTTGTCCCCGTGGTGAGCCACAGCCACCCCCCGCCTCTGCAGGAGACCCTCCAACACTAGCAGTTCTCTGAAATATGTGCTGAATACCATTTTGCAAATGAAGAACTGATATGGAAGAAGCTGTCTAAAATTCTTTTTAGAGCTGAAAGCACTTCAGAGATCTCCTGCCCAAGTGGTTTTCAAACTTCTTGTCATGCAATCCCTTTCCTCAAAAGATACAAACCCAAAAAGACTATAAAAGAGAAGCAAGAAGAACTACAATCCTGCAGCCTGTGGAACAAAAACCACATTCACAGAAAGATAGACAAGATGAAAAGGCAGAGGGCTGTACCAGATGAAGGAACAAGATAAAACCCCAGAAAAACAACTAAATGAAGTGGAGATAGACAACCTTCCAGAAAAAGAATTCAGGATAATGATAGTGAAGATGATCCAGGACCTCGGAAAAAGAATGGAGGCAAAGATCGAGAAGATGCAAGAAATGTTTAACAAAGACATAGAAGAATTAAAGAACAAACAAACAGAGATGAACAATACACTAACTGAAATGAGAACTACACTAGAAGGAATCAATAGCAGAATAACTGAGGCAGAAGAACAGATAAGTGACCTGGAAGACAGAATCATGGAAATCACTGCTGCGGAACAGAATAAAGAAAAAAGAATGGAAAAAAATGAAGACAGCCTAAGAGACCTCTGGGACAACGTTAAACGCAACATTTGCATGATAGGGGTCCCAGAAGAAGAGAGAGAGAAAGGACCAGAGAAAGTATTTGAAGAGATTATAGTTGAAAACTTCCCTAATATGGGAAAGGAAATAGCCACACAAGTCCAGGAAGCGCAGTGAGTCCCAAACAGGATAAACCCAAGGAGAAACACGCCAAGACACATAGTAACCAAATTGGCAAAAATTAAACACAAAGAAAAATTATTGAAAGCAGCAAGGGAAAAATAACAAATAACATACAAGGGAACTCCCAAAAGGTTAACAGCTGATTTCTCAGCAGAAACTCTACAAGCCAAAAGGGAGTGGCATGATATACTTAAAGTGATGAAAGGGAAGAACCTACAACCAAAATTACTCTACCCAGCAAGGGTCTCATACAGATTCAATGGAGAAATCAGAAGCTTTACAGACAAGCAAAAGCTAAGAGAATTCAG